TTAAACCTCAGAGCATCCTGATGGGATCTTGCAGAAAGCACAGATATCATGGGTAGGATGTCGTGTTAAACAAGCAACCTTTGGGGGGTGAGAATGGGTCTGAGTGGGAAGTAGGTTGAGCACGGAAGCAAGGAAAGCTGATTCTGCAAGGTCTGGGATGAGATACAGCCAGGGGAGAAGCGAATCAAAGGGGGGGGGGGCGTGCTGCAGGGCCAGGCAGAAGCCAAATCACCACTGTCCCTGCCTTTCAGGTGCGCGCCTGCTGGTTAGCCTCCAGGCGACGGGGGCGAGTTTGGAGACCGACACTAATAACGTGAGATAGAATTGTAATCATCATTGCCGAAATTGCAGACAAAGGGCTAATTATCAGGACTCATAAATAGACACTTAAAATGTTGTACATGAGACTTGTTCATTATACACGGATTCCACTTTTGGCGAACTCCTGGATATAATCACCGACGGGGCTGAGATTGGCAGGGCCAGGGTCTACTACTGGGCTGGCACGCACCCCGGGGCTGGAGCCAGGACTCGCAAGGGGTGGGTTTTCCCAGCCCTTGCAACAGGCTGGGACTCAAAGGCAACCTGGTCCAGCCTGCTTTGCTTCTCCCCTGCAGACATGGCTTCCCACAGAGTGAGCAGGACCTGAGCGAGGGGACTGTACACAGCAAGCCAGGTTCTGAGCTGGTCTTTGCCAGGATCCTCAACATAGCCCTTGTATGGAAACTGCCGACAAAAGAAATTAAGAGCAGAGATGCTGGGATTAGACTAATGCATTGATCTAGTCAGACCCTCTCTGTTTCACTGCCAGCGTGCCCCATATAAGAGCGTCATTAAACAAACTCCATCGTCTCTCCTAGTAATGGCCTGCGATTTGAGCATGCCCCAGTGATTGACAAGAGATGCCACGGCGGCCTGTGTTGTCTTTAAAAAGCCACATCAGATCAGCAGAAGCTTAAAGCACGGCATAAATTATAGATACACGTCTGTTTCTTTGATGATGTGAGACTCCTCGGTGCATCGCTCTCCCCTCACACAGAGAACTGCACTTTCAGGAGCCTTTGTGCGGAGTCACATCACATTTGAAAAAACAACAGGAAACACACAAACCTTTCCCATCTCCTTCCTCCTTCCTCGTGCTCTTAAACAAAATATGTTAAACAAACCAGCCTGCTTTTGAGGCAGCTTGGAAGTTTTCCACTTTGGAAAAATTAATTAAACATCAAATAAGTGTTTAAATACGGAATTCGGTGCAGCAAGGATTATGGCACAAGGCTGCATCTATCTGTCAACCCCGCTAACAGTGCCTGCTGGAGGCAGGGTTACTGAGTCGGAATATTGTAGGCATCCCGGTCGTTCAAAAACAAAGACGTTCAGAAAGTATTAACAGAAGCATTCTTTGCTTCGTAAATTTTATTGTCAGCTGGCGATGCAATTTCCTTATTACCGAGTTCTAAAAGTCTCCCATGGAATGTTCAGGAGCCACTGTGCCAAAGAGAAAGAGTAGAAATATGAAAACGTGGCTATGGTAAGGAGGAAGTTAGATAAAAACAGAAAAATATTCCTCGTTCTTGTCAGTTGAGAAGTGCCTTTTTAAAAGGTTTATTTTATTTTTAAGTGTGTGGGGGGGGCGCACGTTCGAGAGCACACATGGGAGTCGGGTGACCAGGATCCCCATGGAGATGGAGTTACAGGTACTTGTGCACTGTCTAACATGAGTGCTGGGAATAGAGCTCAGGTCCTCTGAAAAAGCAGAGCCGTGAACCAAATCCTCTTAACCATGGAGCTACTTCAGTATTTTTTTAATTTATTTTATATGCATTGGTATTTTGTTTGCATGTATGTCTGTGTGGGGGTTTCGGGTCCCTGGAACTGGAGTTACAGACAGTTGTGAGCCACCATATGGGTGCTGGGAATTGAACTTAGGTCCTTTGGGAAGAACAGTCAGTGCTCTTAACTTCTGAGCCTTCTCTCCAGCCCTGAGTATTTTTTTTAACTTTCACTATGTAGTTCACACTGGCCTTGAACTCAGGATATTCCTGCCTCTGCCTCCTGAGTGCAGGGATTAGAATAACAGCACAGTGGTCAAGTCAGACCCTCTCTGTCTCACTGCCAGCATGTCCCATACAAAAGCATCATTAAGGAGAGTCCATCATCTCTTCTAGCAATGGCCTGTGATTTGGGCATGCCTCAGTGGTTGACATGTGATGCCATGCCAGGGCAGCCTGTGTTGTCTTTAAACAGCCACATTGGGTCAGCTGAGGTGTGCAGCACCATGCTTGTCTGAGAGGTGCCCATTTCCGAGGCTTCTCCCAACCTTTGCTAGTCCAGCTGTTGACCATGAATTCCACCATTCACCTGAGCTTAAAAACAGCATTTTCTTCATCAACTGACTCAAATCCCAACCTCTGAGGATCCCTTTGAATATTCACCATGCTCCCAGAAAGAGTGACTTTCTGCATGGAGAAGCGCTCTCTAGAGAACCAGCCCAGGTTGCCCAATAATTCCTCAATGAAACTCCCAGTAGAAACAACATTTGTAAGTCCACTCATTCAGAATTCTTTTACTGTTAGAAGAGAAATTTGGTTCTTGCCTGTGCCCCGCTGAATTCTGTAGAGTTCGCTCGTTCTGAGGCTCATCGCAGATCACTTTTCTCAGAGCTAAGACATTTCCTTTTTCCCCGAGGTGTCAGGATCTCTAAGTTGACATAATTCTGCACAAATCACTCTGGTGGTGTAACTTAGAATGTCCCAATCCCCTTTGGACCCTGGCCTCTGTAACTGGGCCATCACTCACTTAGTCTCACCTTATCTTTAAATAAATGTAACCAGAAGGGACTTGTTCAGCTCGCCACCTCTTGAGTGATTTGAATTATTTATTCAGTCTACGTAGGCATTCGTTAAGCCACACACAGTCAAAGAGAGAGAAGCTGTTTGTCTTGTGTTCATCTTAAAGGGTAAGACCTCAGGGTCAGGGTGAACAGCAGGAACGTTCTGGAAGATTAGCCCTAGCCTTGGCTGTGAAGAATAGGTTTCACTTGGATTTGTCATCTTCCATAGGATCTTGAGCAGTAGAACCTCAAGGTGGTGCTAGTTAGGCTCCCAACCCACCAGGAAGTCCAAGGTCTCAGCCATAGGCATGTACTACTGGCTCTGTCATGTGGCCCTCACTGTAGTGCCAGAAAGCTTGTGGCTGACAAAGAGGTGCAGATAAATGGCTGTAGCTCCATGAGCATCTCCTATAAGGAGAGTCAGTCTGGAGTAATCCCAAAGCCAATGTTATGTTCTGTTAATAGAGGTTTATGGCACGGTATCCAGTAAAGGGTGAGATCTAGAGTCCCACCTGCTGAGTTTCGGATGTCAAATACAGGAGACATAGCTCAAACCCTGAAATAATCTACCCAAGAGTGCCTCCTGAACTCCCATCATCAAGTATATCCATGCTGATGTCATTGAACATCTGACTTCAAACAGAGAAGCCCTCTTCTCTTCTGTACACCCCTTTCAGGAATAGTCATTTTCTCACAGGTAGTAGTGGTCCTCCACTATCCTGCTCCACCCCCACTCCCACCCCCCACCCCCCCCACACAATTTGTTTGGAAATTCTAGTTTTATAAAAATTGCCCCTTGTTATCATGTGGGCTTGTTAGTTTCTTGTCAACTTGACCCTAGCTGGTCATCTGAGAAGGGACCTTCAATTGAGAAGATGCTTCATCAGATTATTTTTCTTCCTTAATGGTTGATGTGGATAGGCCCAGCCCATGGTGGACAATGTCATTCTTGGGACAGTGGCCCTCAGTGCTATCAGAAATCAGACTGGCATAACCCCTTTGACCTAAAATGGTATACTGTTTTCAAGATATGCTAGGGCAATGGTGGCACCAAGCTTGGGGGAGTAACCAATCAATAACTGATTAGGCATAAAGCCCACTCCATGAGATGGAGCCTACACCTGACACTGCTTGGGTGACCAAGATCCAGAGACTAGGTAACCCAGGGACCTAGGGTAAAACCAAATAGTACTGGTCTAAAAGAAGGAAAGAAAGAAAAATATACTAACAAAATAACTCTAGATGATACTCTGCTATACTCACAGATCAGTGCCTTGTTCAGCCATCATCAGAGAAGCTCCCTCCTGCAACAGATGGAAATAAACACAGTGATCCACAGCCTGACATGACAGAGAGTGAGAGACCTTGGAACACTCAGCCTTAAATTGGACGTCTCCATCAAATCCTTCCCCTCAGGGCTCAGGGACCTCTGCAGAAGAGGAGGCAGAAAGAGTGTAAGAGCCAGAGGTGATGGAGGACTCCAAGAAAATGTCTCCTAAATGAGCATGAGCAAGCACAGCTCGGCACCAGGTCCTCTACATATATATTATGGCTTCCAGTTTAGTGTTTTATGGGATTCCTGAGTGTGTGAAAGAGCAGGTCTCTGATTTTTGTGACTTCACTTGGACCCTCTTCCTTCTGTTGGTTTATCCTGTCCAGCTTCAGTGTGACAGTTTTTGTTTTATCTTATTCTAAATCACTTTGTTATAGTTTTTTTTTTAATGTATGAATGAATACCTAGCTATTAGGGTAAAGGTTAACAGCTGAACTGTTGTTTATACCTGCTGGAAGAGGGAAAATCAGTCTTCTCCCATGGAGTGACACTGGGTATTTCAACCACTCCAGGGCAGGCCTCATGTTCAGGAGTGGTTAACCAACATATGGTAGACTCCCCAGTGTGTGTGTGTGTGTGTGTGTGTGTGTGTGTGTGTGTGTGTGTGTGTGTGTGTGCTTTTATTTGGTTAGAGTTTCATGGATCTTGTTTGTTTGTTTGTTTGTTTGTTTGTTTGTTTGTTGGGTTCTTTTTAGCATTGTTGTACTTTTTTTCTTAGTTTGGGGGATTATTGTTGTATTGAGTTTGGATTTTGTTTTTTTGAAGAAAGAACTTAAAGTTGAGTGGGTAGTGAAAAGGAAAGTATCTGGAAAGACTTGGAGGAGGGTGAGAATATGGTCAAAATATATTTAAGTTTAAATATTGTTTTAAATAATAAAAATATAATGAAAAATAAAGGAAGGGAGGGAGGAAGGAAAAGAGGGAGGGAGGGAGGGAGGGAGAGAGAGCAGGCTAAGCAAATCATGGAGAGTAAACAAATAAACAGCATTTCCCTGTGGTCTCTGCTTTAGCTCCTACCTCCCAGTTTCTGCCTTGATTTCCCTCTGTGATGAACTGGGATCAGGATCTCTTCCTATGTTGCCTCTTTGGTCCCAGTGCTTGTCACAGCAGCAGAAAGCTAACTAGGATACCATGGAACCCAAGTGTACTCAGCAAGGAAGGGACGCTGTTGTGTGTCTAGAATCCAGACTCTAAATGACTGGCTGCCCAGGGGGAGAGCTGAGGGAAGTCCCAGGCTTGAAGCTTCTGGAGAATTATGAACAACCATCTGATACGTGATCAAAGGCTTTCTGAAAAGGCTTGCAATACAAATACCACTTTAAAAAGATCAACCAAACAAGTTAGTCTAGAAAAGGACAGAATGAAATACTCACACATGTTCCTTACATAGCTCAACTCCCCCAACCTCCATTGCCTCAACTTCCCCTTTGCACCCAAATGGAATAGGTAACTGGGAGTGTCTGTGGGGTGGGCAGTGGTGGCACACACCTTAAATCCCAGCACTCGGGAGGCAGAAGCAGGCGGATCTTTGTGAGTTTGAGGCCAGCCTGGTCTGCAGAGCGAGATCCAGGAAAGGCACAAAGCTATACAGAGAAACCCTGTCTCGGAAAAAAAAAAAAGAAGAAGAAAAGAAAAAAGAAAAAGAGGTCTGACTAGGTAAAAGTGCCTAAGATGAGCATGTCTGATTCCTGGGGGTGGAATCCGTTACAAGACAAGACACTTTTTGGTGGATGGGTGCTTGCAGTGAAGATGCTCCTTGGTTTGGGATAAGGTTGTATCCCAGTGGACCCAGGTGGAGATATCACATCCAAAGTATATTAATGCACCTTCCTATAAATGCCTTAGCTTAACTGCACAGTATGCTGTAGCATGTTGACTATTGGCCTTGTGACTGCATGGATTACTGGCAGGTGTAGCTTGATCCTGCTGGGGCCAGGAGAGAGTGTCTTACGGCATATAGCTAGCCCAGGAAAGCATCAAAGATTGGTGTATGTCTCCTATTGGGTACTGTTTGCTTTTTCACTGTCAAAGAGTCAGTAAGTCAAGCCATTGTAGGTAGGGGCAGTCTGTACTTCCATCTCACTTGGAAAGGGGCATGAACCTCAAAAGCATGTTCCTTACTGTATTGAAATCTTCTTTCCCATAAAGAAGACCTGGCCGTGATACCTGCTACCCCATGACACTCTCCAAGGCCCCAGGAAGATGCCAAGATGTTCTAAGCACTCCTCCAGTATGGAGGATATTTTAGGATATCTATTGGCATTGGATTTCCTGTCACTGTGGGATGATATTCTGTGTCTGTCAGCTTTTCACTACTGTGACATAATGACCGAGGAACACAATTTAAAGCAGAAAGGATGTTGTGTGTAATGGTTTCAAAGGTTTCAGTCTATGATCACTTGGCTCCATGGTTTCCGGGCCGTGGTGAGGCATGGCATCAGGGAATGGCACAGTAGAACAGAACTGATCACCCTGTGGCATGGTGGGACAGAACTGATCACCCTGTGGCATAGTGGAATAGAACTGATCACCCTGTGGCATAGTGGAACAGAACTGATCATCCTATGGCATAGTGGAACAGAACTGATCACCCTGTGGCATGGTGGGACAGAACTGATCGCCCTGTGGCATGGTGGGACAGAACTGATCGCCCTGTGGCATAGTGGAACAGAACTGATCTCCTTGAAGCAGTCAGAAGGCATAAAGAGATGGGATAGAGACAGGGAGAGCTCAGGGACAGCAAACACCTTTCAAAAACATACATAGATGACCTATACCCTCCAGCTGGGCACCACTCCCTTAAAAGCCCATTTAGTATAAACTCATGGATGGATTAGCTCTTTGGTGGGTTTGGCATCCTCTTGGCCTAACCTCTTGCAATAGTGCCACAAGCTAGAACACAAGCCCTCAACAGAGGAATCCCTGTGGTTATGACGTTCCCAAACCTTAGCATCCCTCCTCTCCCAGCTTATCTTTCTATGAAAAGCAAGCAGACAGCCTAGTGAGTGCAGAAGTCCAGGCAGGACCTGGCAGAGTGTCACCTAGAGCCCAACTGTCACCCTGCTGGACTGAGCCCTGAACTTCCTACATAATGTCTTCTGGATTTCAAGCATGTTCCATGATAAACGCTCGGGGACCCCACACAGACCAAACGCAGCTCTCCAGGCCATTACACTCCTTCTTTGAGGAATGCCATTACAGTTTCAAGGGTACTATTCAGCAGCCTATCTTTTCTTCTTACTTCCAGATGAGTCGGCCAGCCGTCACAGTTTGTCCCATGGTCAGCATGAGGAGTTCCATGTTTCTTCACGTGTTTCTGAGAGCAGCAACTCACCTGCTAAAGTGAAGAAGTGTTTGTGGAATTAGAATCTGGAAATGAATCTTTCCTCAGTTCTCAGCACCTGCTTATACCACTGGGCATGCTCTTTGACTCCTCTGCGGTTAAGACTGCCAACGTTCTATGAGACCCTAAAAGTGAAGGGACCCATCCAGTGGTGATGACTATCAAGACAACTGGGTGAAGAGAACATGGAATGAGGAGGTTGGTCCTGGCTCTTTGCCCTGCTAACTGCATGTGCTTGCCTATCTTCATTGCACCACTTTGCTGTGACCTTAGAGATCTGGGGACATGGCTGCCTGTGATGGTGTTGGGGAGGAGGCTCTGCCTGACATGAGACTGTGACTTCATCACTTGCATGACACTGAGGTGTTGCCACCTGCCTGTCTGAGTGTGTTTTCCGTTTCTATAGCTGAATGCCTGAGACCAGGTGACTTACGAAGAAGAGCAACTTAGAAAGCTGGATGTTCTGAGAGGTGGATGGCACAGGCATCTGATTAGCATCCTGCAAGAGCTCTGCTTGCTACCTGGTAACAAGAATATCCCCATTGCGAGGTGAAACGCTTGTGCCTGGAGTTCTTAACCCACTAATAGGATTGTGGGGTCCCACTTTGGGAACTCTTTAAATCCTAAGATTACCATAAGGCTCTACTTTCAAACAGCATTAACATATGGATTAGGTTGTTCAGCTTCTAACTGCAAACACTGTTCTGCCTCTGCAGAGCCCGAGACAAAATTCTAAGTGGTGTGTCAAGAGAATGGGGTTCCATTCCCCCACTGTCCTTGAAGACCTGGGACAAACAGCAGGTCCAGGTGACCGGGGCACTGCCTCTCTTTCTGTTGGGGTAAATTGAAGTTGCAGGAAGTTTCTTTTGCTGCTTGCCGTAGGTTCAGCTCAGACACTAGACATGTCACCGTGGGATGGTGTGTTATAGCTTTTTGATAAAGTCCAAGATTTCCATACATAAGAAAAGAAAAGAGAGTGAGGAAGGGGTAGGGTAGAAGGGGAGGGGAAAGGACTAGAAGCAAAGGTGTGTTGGCTAGCTTGTTGTCAACTCCATGTAAGCTAGAATTATTTGAGAAGAGGGAACCTCAATTGAGAAAATGTCTCCATCAGACTGGCCTATAGGCAGGCCCATGGGGAATTTTCTTGATTCATGATTGATGTGGGAGGGCCCAGCCCACTGCAGGTGGTGCCATCCCTGGGCAGATGGTCCTGGCATGTGTGAGAAACTAGCTGAGCCAGCCAGGAGGAGCAAGCCAGGAAGCAGCTTCCTCTATATCCTCTGCTTGAGTTCCTGGCTCTAGGTGCCTGTCTGGATTTTCCATTGTGCAGGACTGTAAGCTGTAAGCTGAAATAAAATCTTCTCTTCTCGAGTTGCTCTGGTCATGGTTTATCACAGAGATGGAAAGCAAGCCAGTGGCCTTGCCCACCTGTCTCCTAACAAACCGGTCTGCCATCTGAAAGAATGGCTCCACGTTGGTTAAAAGTTATTTTTTTCTTTTCTCTTTTCCCTCTTTTCTCTCCCTTCCTTTCTGTCTTTCTTCTTTGAGACAATATCTCACTCTGCAGCCCAGATTGGACTCAAACTTTCAATCCCCCTGCCTCAGTCTCCTGAGTACCAGAAAGGAACGTGCATACCACCACTAAAGGCACAAGGTCATTTTCAAAAATATTTCTCTGTCTTCCACAATTACGAGTCCCAAAGGGGAAAGGTCATCAAACCTATGAACTTCCTGATGTGCATGGGACTGCTGACTCCCTATTACAGTGCTTTCAAACTCAGTATTGAAGAAATAGTTACCGCCACAGGAGAAGGACGTGGCACCAATGTCCCAAGTTGTGTCAACCAAGAAATTATCAGTGAAGAACTTAAGATCAGGAAGACCATGCTTAGTGTAGTGCATTGATTAAGCCTCTCTTCCTTGTTTGGCTGCCAGCCCCACACATTTAAAAAAAAAAAGCATGCAGGCAATTGCAGAGTAAATTGTATGTGTCTTATAACCCCCAGTGAACATTTTTTTTAAATAAGAAGAATAGAAGAAGAAGAAGAAGAAGAAGAAGAAGAAGAAGAAGAAGAAGAAGAAGAAGAAGAAGAAGAAGAAGAAGAAGAAGAAGAAGAAGAAACAAACCAAACCATTCCTTTGTGTGACTTCGGTTAGGTATCAGAAAGTGGAACTTGCTCAGTAAAATGGTTGGGTTGAGCTTTGGCTGCCTGACTTGCTTACAAGTGAGCCTCTCTCCAGTTTCTCCTCTAACATGTCATTGTCTCCTCCCCTCCCAACTGTCCATCATCTTTCTGTCTCCCCCATTTTCTTCCTCCGAGCCTCTGTCTCCCTCTATCTGTCCCCTGGTGATCTCTAGTGGGAGATGACAAGGGAGTAAGGCCTTTCCACTGATGTAGTGGTGCACAGCTGTGATCCCAGCACTCTGGAGCCTAGAGCAGGAAGAGTAAATAAATAAGGACAACCTGGGCTACACAGTGAGGTAAGGGTCAACCTGACTACAAGGGGAGACTGAAAACACAGAGGGCAGAAAATTCAACTCAGTGATACTGTTTGCCTGCCGAGTGCAAAGGCACTACAGGATGGCAGTATGGTTCTGTAGCCAGGGGCAACTGCTACCAAACCTCATGATTGGAGACCAGAGTTCAATTCCTGGGCCTACATAGTACAAGGAGAGAACCATCTCCCAAAGTTGCCCTTTGCCTCCCAACATGCATGCACACACACATGCAATGAATAAACAAACAAACAAATAAATAAAATCTAAATTAAAAAAAATTCTAGAGACCTGGGGTGATGGCTCAATGGTTAAAGGACTTGTCACTCAAGCATGAAGACTGGAGTGTGATCCCCAGAATCCATATATGAATACAAGGTGGTTGCAGTAGCCTGCATATAATCCCAGGTCTGCTAAAGCAGTGCCAGGAGACCCTAGAGGAAGCTGGCTAGCAAAGTAAACATAGCCACAAGCTCTGGGTTCAGTTGAGAGACTTCCTCAGTGAATAATGTGGAGAACTCTCGAGGAAGGGTCCTGCTGTCAACCATATGTGGATACCTGGGGTGACCATCACTGTAAGTGGTTCTGCTCCCAGAGGATGCTCCAACACACACAAAGATCCTGATGCATTGCTGATACCAGAGTGACTGCACATCTCTCTCTCTCTCTCTCTCTCTCTCTCTCTCTCTCTCTCTCTCTCTCTCTCTCTCACACACACACACACACACACACACACACACTCCACATTAAACATATTTTCTAAGCTCACTCATACCGAAGTATCTGAAGACTATATGTAGTATATGGTTCACTAGGAGGCAGAACCGAGGCCACTGCTTGGGATTTTTTCAGCCCAGCTCACACTTCAGATGCTGTCACTGCAGGAAGGAGCTTCCAATGAGCCAGATGCACAGGCAGCCCAAGCCAGGGACACACCAACTCAGCAACCTGGGTCTGCAGCTAAGGACCACAGCCTAGCCTTCTCATGTACCTGGACATGAGAGGTTCCAAAGGAAGCTATCTTCCTGGCCAGTCACTGCCTTGGCATGCTTGGGTGACCAGCAGGCTGGACTTTCATCCCTCTGTAGATGGAGGGTTCTAGAACTCCCTGCCCATACCCCAACTCACCTGCCCTCATCCCAGCAGCCATAGTACTATAATGACTCTGTTATCACAAAGCAGCCCGATGGTTTATTTGAAGGTTTTAGCTTGCTTGGTTTGTGTTTTGGTTCTTGCAGCACTGGAGATTGGACCTAGGGCCTCACACATTAGGCAAGCGCTCTGCTATCGAGCCACAGCCCCTTGCCTGGAGCTGAATGTCCCCAGGAGAGAGGACAAGCACAAACTCCCTTGTCTTCTTTCTACCATGCTAGGATGCTCCAGGAAGTCAGCAGACTCTCATGTGGAAGAGAGTCCTCAGGAGGACCCACCTGTTGTAACCGCCAGAGCTGTGGGAGGTGAGTTTATGGTGTTAGGTCAAACTTTTTAAAAAGCACATGTGCATACACACGTATATACATATACACACATATGAATACACACAAGCACACACACATATGCACAAGCACAAACATATGCACACATGCATATGCACATAAATACATACACACAGATACACAGATAAGCATACACACATATGCATACACACAAGCACATACATACACATACATACAAATATACATTCATATACATATAAACACACATGTATATACACCCAGGCAGTGAAGAACATATTAATTAATTTGATCATAGAGATTATTTCCCATTGCATCTGCACATAAAATCACTGTTTTGGACATCTTAAATATATAAAAATTTGCCAATTTCCCTCATTAAAGTGGGAAAATAAAGCTAAATTAAAAGTGTGACAGACCTAACTGACTGCAGCTATTGAGCTCTACTCTATGTGTCAAGTGCTTAGCCTGTTCCTTGTGTGAAGAGCAGGCTGGCTAGTGCACTCACTGGTTACTTCGTCTCTCTTGGCCTCACTTGCAGTTTGCTCCTGCTCTGCCTTCCACACAAGGTGAGGATTGTGAAGGAAAGCAGCAGGGAGAGGCCAGGGGCTGCCCCAGTCTCCCCAAGACCTTAGTGTCACCTCCCGGCCCTGGGGCGGAGTGGGTGCCGGCCACGTATGACGGCCACACGTGACACATAACTCAGAGCCCATGTTATTGTGCACCTGGGTGCGTTGTGAGCATCTGTGTGTGAGCACACGTGTGTGGTGCTCAAATCAGAATGCAGGCTTCAGTCATGCTGAGCCAGGCTCCACATTGAGGCACACCCCTGAACTTGAAGATTCTTAATGTCCCCTAGTCTCTGACGATTGTGTCTGTTTCAGGGTAGGAGAGGAGAGTGGTCCTCACTGCTTCAGGTTAGGGGAGGAGGGTGCTCCTCACTGCTTTAGGTTGGGAAGGAGGGTTCTCCTCTACTTCAGGTTAGCATGTGGAGGACGCTTTCTCTGCTGTATTGGTTACCTCTGTGTCACTGTGACAAAGCA